GTTAGTTAAATTTAAATCTAATATATTGTTATATATTTGGATAAGTTGGTTTTGATAGTGAGAGGATTCAATAATATAATATATTAAGTGTGTTTCACAAGAAAGAATATTTATTTGTAGTTAACAAAGAGAGAATATTGGAAGTAGTTTGAGATTATTAGAAATGTTAATAATAGCAAAAATTTCTTTGTGATCAATTTGTAATAAAGAATTTTTAAACTTAATTTGTTTGTATGGAAGGTTTATAGGTTGGAGCTTGGTAATGGGTTAACGGATTCTATTAAGTATGTTTGGCCTTCAAGTAGATTTGCTAATTGATATATTTCATAATTTAAAGTTTCTTGATATTTGTTATGATGTAAGAAAATAATATCTTGATTGTTAGAAAGGAGTTGAATTGGAAAATTGGTGTCTACTGAAGCTATTAGGTCAGTTGTGTTAATCAAGCTATTTATTGGAGGTAGTTGAAGTTGAGACCATGTAGCTTGAAGAGAGTTAGTTTGTATTATTTGTAGGAGACGAGTAAACCATAAAGGTTGATATCCTCTAGTTGCTTTGTTTGTGTGAAGATAAATATTATTCCAAGGAAGTAAAGAATTGGTATTTGCTATTGTAATTTGTTCTATGAATAGGATTCTGTTATTTTTAAGACTGTTAAGTATAAGGTTATTAGGAAATAGAGGAAGTATATTATAAATTAAGTGTGTGTGTTTAGAAACAGAAGTAGGATTGAAGAGGGTAAAGAGATTGTTATCTTGTTTCTTGCTAATTAAGCAAGATGAAAAAGAAGAGTATAGTTCTGTGTTTTATAAAAATGTGTAAGCAGTATTTCTTCAGTGAGTTTCAGGTGCCATATTTTTGTTAGCCAGGACTTAATTCGAATAATACCAATGTTATGAAGAAGTGAAAAGGTATTAAAGGTACGTTCAGTATTAGATATGCTAACTTTTTGAATTATGTTAATAAAGGTAAGTAAATTAAAGGTGAGTGGATTGGTAAGTGAGATGTTGTTGGTATTTTTGGCTAATAAGAGCATTTTTTTTGTTTGTATAGATAATAGTCGGGAGAGTTTAGTTTGTATATTTTTTTGGATAGATATGATTTGAAGCAAATATTCTAAGAAAGGTTGAAATATAAGATTGAAAACTGAGAAAATTTGAGAGGGTAAGAGTTTTTTGTATCTAATAAGAAGTAGAAAATTTTCTATTTTGTTGTATAGTATATCAAGAGTTGGTTTGGTTGATCCTTTACTGTCATAGAAGATACTTAAATATCTAATTACATCTTCAGGTTTTCTAGGAGTAATTATTTGGTGATTGTAGATAAATGTGTAATTTGTTGTTTTGGAGTTTTTAGAAATAATATGAAGTAGATCAGACTTGGTTGGGTTTACTTTGATATTGTTTAGTTTGTATAATATAGAGGCATCATTAAGAATATTTTGTAAGGTTTCTGAGTATTCACAATGCCATACAGTATCATCTATATATGCTAGTAGTGGAATTGTAATAGTAGTTGAGGATGTGTTTGAAATTATATCAAGTGGAGAAGATGATGAGATTTTAAAAAAATGGTTATTGTATTTTTGAAATATATAGGTAAGGATAGGATTATAGTAAATTTTCCATAGAAGAGGAGAGTAGATTTTTTCTTGTTCGATACCAGAATTGATTTGAATTGGTGATGTTAAACTGTAGGCCATAATTACTTTAGCTAGTCGGGAGGTGTGTAGTTCAGTTATTAGTTTTATATCAAGAGCAGAAATACCAATTCTACAACAAGCATCTTGTAGCCATTTAATATTAATTCTATCAAAGGCTTTGGATATGTTTTGAAACAATATCCTTGCCTCTTTGTTTTGAGATATATAATGTTCGATAGTGTTATAAAGAATTTGAATTGGAGTGTGTGTTGAGAAGTTTTTTAATACTGTGAAGTTTAGATTAGAGAGAAGATTATTTGATGAGATTATTTTGTCCAGATGATTAGTGAAAATTTTTGTAAAGATCTTTTTAAGAGGTTCGATAATGGATATAGGTCAAACTTGGTTAAGTGTAAAATCCCAATTAGCTTTTTTTGAAATTAGAAAAATATTTGAAAATTTATATTCTGTTAGAGTTTTCTGTAATTGGAGATATTTGTTGATAAAAGATTTAAGAATATTTTGTGCTAGAGGACTAGCATGTTTAATATGTTCATAGCAGATTTCTGAGGGCTCTGCTGCTTTTTGGTTTGGAAGATTAGAAATTACTTTGGACTATTCCTAGTCTGTAATTGTTTCAAACAGTTCATGGTAGTTAGATTCGAGTTCAGAGTATAGTTAGTAAAGTTGTTAGAAATCGGAGGGGATTGAATATAGAGGTTTTTCAGAAAACTATTCTAAGAAGTAATTGTATATTTGATTTAAAATTTTATTGTGTTCTGTTAGTAGGGTGTTGTTAAGTAGAAGGTGGTCGATATTAATATTATTGTATTTTTCAAGTATGTTTTTGTAGAATAGCTTGGGTGTTTTTGTGAAGGTTTTGTCATGATTTTCTAGTTTTTGTTTAATTTCATTGTATAGGTTTTGTTGGTATTGATGATTAAGGAAAGATTTGACAAGTTGGAATTTATTTTTGATTTGGTTATAAGTTGAATATTTGGTTTGAAGTGAGTTTTCAGAATATTGAGTTAGATATTGGTCAAGTAAATTAGAGAAGTTGGATAAGTAAAAATGATTTTTAAGGAATTGGATTTGTTTGTATCTGTAGAAAAGAGGTGATTGTTTGGGTGATGGGAAATTTTGGATTTCTTTAATTGTTCTGATTTTTTTGAAAGGAATATATTTGTTGGCTGCTTTAGTTAGAGCTTCGTGAATTTGGTTTCATATGAGATTGAGTTTGTTTTGGTTTGTAATTAATTGGATTTTTGGAGAAATATATTGAAGATTGTATGAGGTTTTAAAGGCATAGTTGTGGATGGTTTCTTTCGAGCAATTTTTCTAAAGATAGCATTTCCTTTTATGTTGTTTGGGTGGTTTTGCTTTGTTGAGGATGATTGTTATTTCTAGAGTTGTTATA